GGAATGGTAGGGAATTTGCAGATCCAGCAACTCTGACATTACTATTCAACTGTTATGTGCGCATCAAATTAGAATATGGGATATTAATATGGTATCCCCATCATGCAACCCAAATAAGTTCCATAGAACGTGTTCAAAGGAAATTTTTAAAATATTTATATTTGAAAATTTTTGTATTCACCCAGACCGTAACACTGATTACTCTATACTTCTTAATGAAAGCAATTTCATCTCACTGAATACTAGACGTTTCATTCTAACAATAACGTTCCTGCCAGCAAAAGTTCCGTTTACTGTACCTCGACTAAATAGTAGGCACGCAAAGGTATTTTACTGCGATCGTGCTAGAACAGACATATTAAAGAGATCGCCTGTTTCAATCATTTGCAATAATTTCAATCTGATATGTGGTTCATGTGAAATCAATATATCTCCATTATCTATTATAATAAATTGTATTATGACATTCACTTACAATACGTAACATTTTTTTTCTCTTTTGTAGTATCTAATCCTGCTAACACACACTTGTGAATGTACATTTCTATCACATTTAAAACATTTTCTTTTTTTATATATACATTCATCCAGTTTATACATTTTCTGTTATCGGGTGTACTTATACCTGATGGAAATAAAGAACTATCTATCTATCTATCATTTAGGACTCTAGTGGAGTCCTGAATGGATAAAAGTGTAAAACTAGCCTGATGAATGTCTCTTCCTAAAATACTTCTGGTGTGTTTTTGCATTTTTTTGAATTTTCTGTAGGGATCCAAATGCAGGAGGTGGTACTTTTTCAAATTGACACATGAGATATCACAAAACATTCTTTCATTCATTCAGGAGTCTAGTGGAGTCCTGAATGAATGAAAGTGTAAAACTAGCCTAATAAAAGTCTGTTCCAAAAATAGTTTTGGCGTGTAATTGAATTTTTTTTAAATTCTCTGTAGGTATCCAAATGCAGGAGGTGGTACCTTTTCAAATTGACACCATGTATATGGAAATGTTTCAATCACACAAGAGTGTAGTTCTTCGCTCATGTAATAAACTGAGAAATCTGTTTCTTCAATATCTTCCAGCCTTTCAAGTTACAAGACGTTGATATTGTCTAGTTCTCACGATAATAAAAGAGGCAACCAAAGTACACCTTCCCCGATTTCTCTCTCAGACCCTGCTTCAGAAACGAAATTATCCATTCATCAAAACCCCCAAGAACGCCCAATACTTTTTATCGCGAAACCTTCCATATTCCATTGAAAAAGTGTCCAATCGAAAAGTTGCCATTCAAGCTGTCCAGCGTTGATAATTTATACAATTTTTATTCACTCTCACTACAAAACCTACTTCATTGATGCTTTCTTTGAGAGAATGTGTTAAATAATGTGACGCATTTCTTTTACTTTTTTTATTGCCATGTGGGAGGTATTGCTGTTGAGTAATTTATGTGATTCAGTGGCATTAACTCACCGCAAATCTTTTATTCTGCTCGGAGGACCTCCTCTTTGATTTCTAAGCAGGCTTAGATTTATTACGAAGAAATTCGCACCACTTGAAACGCAACGAAATAAGTGATCTCAATAGGGGTTATTATGATGTCTTCATGTTAAGGTACCACCTCCTGCATTTGGATCCCTACAGAAAATCTTAAAAAAATGCAAAAACACGCCAGAACTATTTTTGAAAGAAACATTTATTAGGCTAGTTTTACAATTTTATTCATTCAGGACTCTAGTGGAGTCCTGAATAGTGTTTTATGATACCTCATTTCAACCTTTTCTATCTTTCCAAAAATACCACATAACCCACCCCATACCATACAGGGTGTAACATAAGTACGTTGAAATATTCAAGTGACGTATTCCTGAGACAATTTTGAGAAAAATAGTCTATCTGAACTTGTGTCCGAAAATGCTTTGTTTCGGAGATACAAGGTGTTGAATTTGAATTTTTTTGTTCGCTTTTTGAAAATAACTCTTGCAAAAAATAAGTTATTTACACGACATTCGGAACCGGGGTTTCTTTGACGGGAGAAATCATAATTTCGTATTAATTTTCATGTAACATCTAGAGAGCGCTGCGTACGCTGTCATTATTTATTTCAAATTGCCCTAACTTTTTTGACAGTAAACTTTTGGTACTTTTCATGAAAAAATCTAATTCTCACATCTTTTCCAAGTGAGAAAGGTATACCTCCTCAACAACACTGGAAGTGATCGGCAATGCGAACATTCAATGGCCTCTTAGTTTCACCAGTATAGGATTTTCCGCACTCACAGGTTATTCGGTAGGGAAGTGCAAGCACTGGTTGTGACGGCTTCTCTTCCTTGCGAGGCTCCTGCTGTCTTCTAGTAAAGACTTTTCTACCATCGCTTTGGAGTAGCCAATCCGTTGAAGATCATTTTTGATGATGTCTAGTTCCTTCTCGAGACCTTCCTTCATTATACAGAGCCCAAAAGCACGGTCTAATGGAGTTTTGATGATTCTTCTTTTAGTCGATTGATGGTGGTTGGATTCGTGGTTCAGATACTGCCCCGTATGAGTGGGTTTTCTCGATATACAGATGTTTCCCACTTAGTGTCGGTCCTCTTCACCAAAACGTCTAAGAATGACAATTCATTGTGGATTTCCTTCTCCATTGTGAAAATGATGGAAGGTCTCACGCTGTTGATGTGTTTCAGGAAGGCATCTAGTTCAGTATTACCATGGTTCCATATTATGAAGGTGTCGTCAACATATCTCAACCAAACTCGAGGTTTCTTGTGGGCTTCTTCAATGGCCAGAGTTTCAAACCACTCCATATATATGTTGGCTATGACTGGTGAAAGTGGCGATCCCATTGGCAGTTTCTCATCTTGTGTAAAGAATTCGTAGTTGTGTTTGGTTTAAAAAATAACGAACTACCAACTACTATTCAATTCCATTTTTTAACAAAATTTAATGCGTCGAGCCCGCAAAACACTGACTTCTTCACCCTAGTTCTTGAATATCGAGAGGTAATTCTGGTTGTATGCTAAATTGTTCCATTGAAAAACTATCATACCTAATACATTATCACCATATTTTATTTCATAGTCAACTGAGTCTCTAAGTAAAAAAGAAAAATTTGTTGAAAGTCGTAAATGTGGTTTGTCACCGCTAATGCTTTTACTGAGGAAAACTATCTGGAACAAACAAGGAGGTAATTCGAGTTGGGCCTTTCTCTTCACTTTCGTGGGGTGTTATGTTACAATCAATATCATATCCTAAAAGGATAGCTTATATACGTAATCCAAGAAAGTTATCCACAAATGATGTAAAAAATACGCAAATATATTTTGTTGTAATCTTGATTGAAAATTCCATTCATTTGTATAAAACAGAATCTTCTTTGCTGAAATATAAACTGATATCGGGAATATAAAATATTTGTTCCTTTGTTCGTTTGTAATGAATGGACTCAAAAACCACATGATCTATTTCGAAACTTTTTCACCATTAGAAAGCTGCATTATCAGCGAGTAACATAGGCTGTTTAAAATTTTCAAAAATCTTAGAGAAAAATTCACACAATAAAATTGAAATCAGAACAAGCACTTTTCCAGAACACCAGAATTGCAATATACGAGGATTTCAGGGCTCATCTTTGACGCTAAAATCTCCATATATGAAGCAATGAAAATACATCAAAACAGACGAAACTTTCGAAACACCACATCATCTGAAGATCTTGATCTGTCAACGTCCTCTCTCTCATAAAACAAAATGTAGGGTGTCTCCAGAGGCTCCAATAAATTCAATACATCGCCAGAACATTTGGTGACACGACTATCGTCAAATTTAAACCAGTCCGTTTCGTCTTTGACCAAGGCATAATAATGACCAAATTCAACGTCAGAACCACAGTGAACAATGACTGCATGAATATTATAATAGTGGTCTGCTAGATTGAAGTGTTCACCTATTTCGAACCTTCGTAAGAGTTTGGTGCTTCCGTCAGAGGTTGAGTCATGTTTGAAGATCATTATCAATCTGAATAATATTCGGGGGAAATGTCAAAATTATTTTACAATGGTTTTCGAATATTTTTATTTCATTTGCAATTTCGTGTGCACGATGAAGACTCATATATTCACAAAATATTGTTGGGCTGTATCTGCTGAATGTCTGCCGGAAAACTTCTTCCTTGGCTAATACCACGAAAGTTATTGAATCACATCCGGCAGACATTCATGCAAGTTTTCTTATTGAAAAACTTTCTGCAAATTCTTCCGTTTGCCCAGCAGCAGAACATCGCTGAAATCAATCGAGTAGATCACCTANTGGATAAAAGTTTGTGTTTATTTTTCAAACACCTTCGTTTGATAGGTAGGAATGTAGCTATGAACAAGTACGTACTAGTAATATTAGTTATTTTGTTATTAGTTTATTATTAGTACCTATGTATTATGTATTACCAGGTAAATAGTAAAATAAATACATATAATGATAAATTAACTGTGGATTATTTCATTTACGTTGTGTTACGTGGCTTCCGTGTGGGAAGTTCGCTGTTTATTCCAAAATTAACAAAGTAGCTCAACACATTGAAGAGGTTGGCGACCACTGATCTAGTGGACTTCAAAGACTCCAGGAAATCGGTTGTAGAGAAAGATGATACATTTTTACGAAACTGCAGCTGCATGAACAGGAGTTTGAGTTTGGGGAACAAGTAGGAAACATTCTCGTTCTCGTTCATCATTAAAACCTCGTTCTTGAAATTCTTCATCATGAACAATACTTGTAAAATGCTATTCATGTAGCAAGTGTTTCCTAAATTATCTAATACAATTTTCCTCTCAAGGTTTTCAACTACATTAGACTTTAACGAATATGTTCAGTGACAGTTTCAAATGACCAAGTATTTCGTCATATTATGAATGAAATTCACCCTCAAGACACCAAACAAAATCGATATTCTTAATAATTAGCCCACATATACGGCGTTTCTATGGAAATAAAACACAGTTATTGCATATAGTCACACAGCAGAAACTGTCTATTCAGTTATTCTGGTGACAAGTGTTAAATTAAATTTTACGAGTTCATAATCTCTGTCACATCATGCCTCAAACAGATTTATTAGTAGATCACTCTAAAGAAAAACTTACTGAAGTGCCCAAAAGTGTACTGGACATGAGCAACCTGAAGATGTTATTTCTTGAAGGAAATTTCCTCACGAGTTTGCCGGAAGATATTTTTTGGAAGTTACCGAAATTGATGTGGTTAGATTTGAGAAATAATATGTTGGAATATTTGCCAAAAAGTATAGGATATCACGAGAATCTCGAGAATTTACTACTGACCAACAATAATTTACAGAAATTGCCAAATGAACTTGGTGAGTTATTTCGACTAATTATTTATGTTACGTTATAACTCATGATTGCTAATTGATGGATGTAGCCGTTACTACGAATATAATGAATCATTGTTAGTTTACTGTATAAGTTTGAAAATGTCCGTATAGGACGAAACTGCAGTAACGTAAGTTACAAATAAAAGTGGTAAAAACATAGAAATGTTCATTTCTCTTTTCACTTATGATTGTTTCTTGTTCATGTATTCTTTATTCTGAAGTATCAGTTTATCTTTCATCAATTTAGTTGTTGAAAGTGACAGAANGAGCAATAAGAACATCAGGTTCGAATTCGACACCTCAAAAACCTCCTATTACCAAGTTTCGTTTAATTAAGTTCCGTATTTCAAAAGTTATTTGAAAAAAACGAAAATAAAAATAAAACTTCCACATCCCGTATCTTGGAAACGAAGCGTTTCCGGACATTTATTTATTCGGACAATTCATATTAGAATATTGTGACGAATCACCTCCTGAAGTTTGTCAAAGTACTTTTGAATCACCCTGTATACTCGAGAAATGGTTCTGATATAGATTCTATGAAACATGTTCTTCCTTACGAATCAGTAGACAGTTGTCCTGAAAATCTTGAGAAAAAAATTGGGTTAGATAATTTAGGAAACACTTGCTGATGGATTGTCAAAAACACTATTCGAACAGACATTTTCTCAGTCAAAACATGAGTCATTTCAGGCAATACTTCAATTTTATCCATATGGAACAACTGCGGTCATCTATGGTCCTTGTCTCGATCAAATCGCATCATCGAGAATAATACAGAAAGTTCAGAACGCATGTACAAGATTGTTTTTGGTTTAAAATTCAGAGATCATGTATCTTTTTTAACATACATCAGGTTCGGTGGCGGAAATTGTTCAACAGAAGAAAATTGCATCTAGTTAACTTCGTTCATTATCTCAGAATGAAATGCATCAACCTCAATACCTTCCAAAGAAGTTGACATACAGATTCAATACACTTACTTGCCCTATCGGATATAATCCAACGCCCTTCGTGGTATTAGCCAGGGAAATTTTTTGATAGGCGTCAGTCCATTCAACCTACAGTGTATATGATTTGATTTGTAGCCAGTCTTCAAGTATGCCCACTGACTATATGTGAAAAGTTTTCTTTCCTTATACGAAGAATTCGGCAAGTTTCGGATGTTCGATTGGTTATCTCGTTCACAGGCAGATGGGGCGATGACAAACATGTTGTTTGTTGTCTGCTTCAGCCTAGTTCGAGGAATGATACTCTGAAGGAATTCATTTTTCAGTTATCGGAAATCATCGACTTTATGCTGTTGATAGACACTGCCTTGCACTGATAAGTGGCCTAACAGCCCGAAACCGGTCTACAAGTGTTTTCCAATAATTGGAAGTTGTATCGCCAACAGCATATGCAGGAATAACTTCTGTGAAGAATCCTGCACTGATACCTGTCAGATATAATCCAACGCCCTTCGTGGTATTAGCCAGGGGTGTAGCTGTTTTCTGATAGGGGTCAGTCTATTAAACTACAGTATACATTGGTCTGAAGGAATTGTTACTTCAGATGATTTGATATAATTGAGGATCATCTATCACCGCCATTATTGACACTTCGAAAATCCCAAATGAAATAATTGTGTTCAGTTTCATGTGAATCATTATTTTTCCTTAAAATGCTTCTTGGATGGTGTGTCTTTTTCATGAATATAATGTTTTCAATTGAAATTCATGTGTTATAGGTCTAGTTTCAAAGTTAAAAGCTCTACAAGTCTCAGACAATCCTCTCACTTACCCCGCCAGAAAAGTAATAGTGGAAGGAACGAAGGCTATCAAAAACTACTTGAAAGAACAGTACGAAAAAATCAAATCTTCCGCTACGAAAAATGATAGCAGCAAATTGGATGATGAACTGCAGATTCTGGAGGAGGAGAGAGTTTTGAGTGTTGTTGATGTGTCTAGCAATGAAGATATCGTGGATAGTAACTCGGGTGCTATCGAAACTACCGACAAAAATAGTAAAGGTTTATCGATGTGTAAGCTTTCGTTTTGCGACCCATACCATCTCCAGCCTACGTTCAGTGTGAAAAAGTTGCATCATTCCAGAGTAAAGAAAAAAAATCAAGAAGAATCTCTTAAAATAGTTCATAAAATCAGCAGAACAAATTCCAAAATCATGCTCAAGTCATATTTCAATAAAATAGGAGTGAGAAACAAAACAAGCGAAAAAATTGTGAATACGGCCCTTAAAGAAGGATGGCTCAATCAACTGAGAATACTTCTAACCGATCAGGAAAGGATTTTGCAACAGGAACGGTAAATCAGTATACTATGTTTTTTTTTCGTAAATACGGCCCTTAAAGAAGGATGGCTGAATCAACTGAGAATACTTCTAACCGATCAGGAAAGGATTTTGCAGCAGGAACGGTAAATCAGTATACTATGTTTTTTTTTCGTCAAATATATGTGACATCTTTACATTCTTGTCATGAAACTATGCATATTGTTGAAGCTTGTTACATATTTGCAGGGTAGAATATTGAACTTCTAGATAACATACGAGGTCTGTTGAAAAAATAAGGTGAATTTTCAATTTTTACCAAAAAATATTCATTTTATAATCAATTTATATTTTGCCTCCTCCAATGCAGGCCCCCTCAGACATAGTACACTTGTGCCAACGTTTCTTCCAATCCCCGAAGCAGTTCCGATATCATTTTAATATGTCCTTGAGCTCTCAGCGTTTTGATTTTTATCCCCTCAATCGTCGCAAAACCTTGGGAAAACAGGGAAAAGTCGCAGGGGGCAAATCTAGTAAATACGGTGGCTGACGCATGATTATGATGTTGTCCAAAAAATTACGAACAAACAATGATGAGTTGCAAATTAAATCCATTTGGGAAAACGTTCTCATGAATTTTATTCCAGAGAAGGTGTGATCTGAGCTTTATAAAGCATAAAAAATTGCTGAGGTATGTACAGTTTTCTGGTTCGGAACAGTGTTTCAAGCTTTTGAGAAGCAGCTTTTGCAATTCCAGCGACATGATTGTGCCAAAACATATTGGTATCCATGTTAACACCCAAAAAACTTATCGAATAATCTAGGCAGCTTGTGTCAAAAAGGACATATTGCGGGAAATTTTGCAGGAGTTTTTAAATTTGATCATACATGATATTTCGGGCTGCTGAATACGAATCTGAGGTTTGCCAACAAAATTTCTCACGTGAAATATGTTTTTTTTTGCAAAATTTGTGAAAAAAATCGACTTCGTTTTGGTTTTTAGCAAATAATTCGAAAACTACACATTTTTTGTAGAAAGATTATCTATACAAAAAGGAAGAAGATGAAATTTTCTACAATTTATGTCATCGAAGTTTTTTTTTCTACGGTCAACCATTAAGCCATGGGAGAACGCTAAAAATGAGGGAAAACCCTCAAAACTCCAAAAATCAGGATTTTCGGCGATTCGACACGGGAATGCAATATTGAAGAAATGACCGAGTCAAACCGCTAGCAGTCATGAGCAGTGCAGTACGCGTAGACAAAGAACTGCTCCCAGTGAGTCCCACTACTTTGTTCCAGCGAATTTCTATCGCCAAGCATTCCACCGAGGACCTTCAAAACTTTTTGACTTATGATCTTTGACCCTACTCCTTGTCCCTCTTTGACCAGGGATGCATGAGAAAAGGGACAAAGTCCACTCTGTACAAAGGCGTGAAATCCATCACCAACAAGCAGTACACTGGCCAAGTGCAATTTGTCATTGATGGGGGTTTCCTTATTCACCGCAATATGCGACAGGAACATCCAATACTTGGTTACTAAATATCCAGGGGCAATAGTCGTCTTCGATAGCTACCCCGAGGTTGACTGCAGTGGCACCAAGACAGTTGAGCGCCTGAGGAGGACGAGGACGCATGCTTCTGCTGACATGCTCATTGACGAAATAGTGATACCTACTACGTCAACAGATAAATTCCTATCTAATCTAAGGAACAGAAATCGGCTCATAGTCATGCTTTCGCCGGTATTCGCATCTGCTGGATTACAGTACAAACAGGCAAAAGAAGATGCTGACACGCTTATTGTCACCACAGCACTGTCTTTGGCTCCATCTAACGAGACAGTGGTTGTTGTAGGGAAGGATGTTGACCTCTTGGTCATTTTGACTGTACTCACCCAGGCCAACAACATTTTCTTCCTGAAACCTGGAAAGGAGGCAGCTTTGTATTATCTGCTAGAAGCTTGCGCATCCCCAGTTAAAGACCACATCCTCTTTTTCCACGAGATGAGCAGGTGCGATACGACGTCTGCCCTCTTCAGGCAAGGAAAGACGAAATTTTTAAATATGCTTGTGAAGAATCCCAGTCTCGGCAACGTGGTCAACATCTTCAGAAACCCCAACGCCTCCCAAGCATCAGTAATCGCCGCAGGAGACCGTTTTCTGGTTTCCCGGTACGGTTACACAGAGAAAACCACACCCACACTCAACCACCTGAGGTTCATCTTCTTCAGCAAGGCAGCGTTCACGCTCAGCTCTTACGTAGCAGCTTTACCACCTAGTGCTGCTGCAGCGAGGGAGCACTCTTTCAGGGTCTACCACCAGGTTCAGCACTGACTTGGTGTGGAAAAAAACCCTGACGAGTGGAGTTGGAAAAATGCGATCTCAGGCTTAGAGCCAGTGATCACGCTTGCTCCCCCAGCTCCGCTTCTAAAGCTGCACCACAAATTGCCAGCGAAATTGTGGGTGCAGGAAGACAGATCTATCGTGCTCCTCTTTATTCGTGAATGGTGAGGGCACCTGCAATAACATTGAACCAGTGCAAGAGGAAGAGCAGGACAAGAAGAAAGCCGAGGCTGAGATGGACGATTTGTTGCCGTTGGACATTCCACAAGAAGAAAACTCAAAAGGTAAATGCTTGCAATATGTTAATAATATTCAATCCGTCATTGAAATTTTACTCTCTCCACTGATTCTATGCTTTTATTTTTTTGTTTTACAGATGAAGATGAACCAGATCCTAGTGAACGGCCCTCGAAAAAGTTGAGGACGTGAGGAAATCGAAGGTACAATAATTTGAGGATTGCAGAGAAACAGTATTATGATAATCACAACTTTCTAAACTTTCTAGAGTTCTCACAGTCCTCACTAACCCATTCAAAGAAGAATTGGAAGATTGAAGAATGAAGATGAAGGCAATTTTAACGTTCATATTACTAATAATATACACAAATTTCATTTCGTACATATAAACGATTCCATGTTTTTATAATCGATGTATTATTTGAAACTGAATTGAACTTTTTTTCTTTATACTCACTTTTTCATTCTTTTTTAAAATGCCCGGACCTACTGAGTATCAAGATGAATTGTTGCCCTATCATTATTCCTCATATAACTCATATTTTCAATTATTGTGTAGAACCTTGAACGTAAATGAATATCCGACTCTATGGAAACAATCACATAGTCTGCCTTCAGCTAATGTGCCTATCCCAGATGATTTGAGCGATCTCCGTCCTATCAGTATACTATATGCGATATGCAATGTTTTTGGAAAAATAACAAGTAAACAAATGAAAAATTATCTAGATGAATTCCATATTCTACCACCTAGTCAATCTGGTTTCCTAACAAATTTTAGCTGCACAACTGCATTATTAAAAGTAGTTGATGACATCCAAAGGTCAATAGATGATAATAAACTTTGCCTTGTAGTTCTGCTCGATTACTCAAAGGCGTTTGTTAGTATCAACCATGTACTTCTTATATCTCTTCTGAATTACCTTAGATTCGCACCGAGTGCAACTGAGTTGATTGGAAATTACTAACAGAACCGATCACAATGTGTCACCTTCAAAAACTGTACGTCGAATCTCATCAATATCTATAACGGTGTTCCGCAAGGGTCCATATGGGGCCCAGTTATATTTGTATTATATACATCACAATTTCCAGATTGTTTACAATATTCTTCTGTCATCTGCTACGCCGATGATACTCAAATCTACATAGAATGCGATGAAGATACTTTGAACATAACACAGAAAAAACTTAATGATTGATGATTTATGTTCTTTGATAAAATTATCAACCAAATATTGCTCGACTGTCAATCCCTCTAAGTCAGTAGTTATGCTCTTTGGAAGGACATTGTCTCGTAAACGCAATCTAGATAAGGTTTCTATAACTGCAAACGGAGTTGAGTTACCCCTTAGGGATATTTCTAAAAACTTAGGACTGTACCTCGACATTTATTTGAGATAGAATAGTGCGTAGAGGATGACAGCACGACCAGCTGTCGAAAGCGCTTGCAGATAATCAAATAGAAGTTATAGAGCTTGACGCAAAACACGTCTAACTTTTATGCCTCTCACCAACAAACTGAACATGCTGAACAGTTGAAACTGTGAACATATGTCCGAGACGAGTATACCAACATAAAAAAATAAAAAATCCCTAATCTAAAATACGTAACTCGAGAAATTTAATATTCACTTCATTTTTATTCAAAATATTCAATTACATACATTTATCAGTAAAAACGGTCATTACTTATGAATGACATGTACTCTTGCCTCAATGTCGAAGTGAGAAAAGTACAATATAAACTAAATCATTTCAGTGAATGCTTACTCAGGTATATAGAGGGTGATTCTCAATAGCGTGTTGCTGTTAGAGAAACTTTTTTTGGGGGACATTTTGAAAATATATTTCATATGACCTCCTCAAGTTTCAAGAAGAAAATGTTTTTTATAACTCTGGTATAACCTTAGATATTTTAGTAAAATGTACTAAGCATCTTCTACCGAGTATACAACAGAATGCTTGGGTTTACTATCTGTTTAAAATAGGTTACCTAACTGAACTAACAAAAACAGTTTGTTTAGTTCCCGGTAAACACAAGACATTCTTTGGATATC